TTTTTCTTATATGGTATATGCTTAATCCCATAGAAACTAATGCAGTCTACTGTATTTAACCAGTTTGTAATTTAGGTTTTATCACTCAGTAGAAAAACATCAGGGACTTTGCTATTTTTAGATAAAACAGATGAAGGAAGAGGAAACTGTGACAAAAAAAAAATGCCCAAGAAAGCGTTGAGTGTCTTTTGATCAAAAGACAACAAATACAAATGAGCTATACAAATGCAAAGGGGGGTGGGGGAATCAATCATCCTTTTCATGTTTTATTCATTCTTCAGAGTAGGAAAGTCTTACTCTCTGTCCGCCTCCAGATTTTACCAATGTCAGTGGACAAGAAGCATTGCATACACCCACTTTCAGACTGCAATTTCAATTGGTATTTCAGTTCTGACACACTGACAACTAAGCCCAGCACTTACAAAGTCAGAATTTTCTGGTCTGCAGGTGAAGAAAATGGATGCTCCAAGCCAGAAACATTCAATCTGTGGCCCGTCTGGAAAATGCATCCTGCTTGCAATCTACTCTGACCAGCTTCGTCTACCTCTTTGGGACTGTGCAGCAGACCAAGTTCTGGTTAGTGCCAGCTTCCATTTGGCTGCAGAACCTTATCAGGGCAGTGCAGCTCCCTCCCATCACTTTGGGCTTTCTGCCGTGCAGCACACAGCACCCCTACTCACCTGTCTGCTTCCTGAGAAGGACTGCAACAACTCAACCTGCTCCCAGCCGCTCTGTCTTCCAGGCAGACAGGGAGCAAGGTGCACGAGTTTTTTCTGCCAGCCACAACCCACCCCGACCACTCACTCTCCTTGGAAACTGTAAGACGATGCTTGCTGAGATGTACTAAGACAATGCAATACTGAGTGTATGGAATTTATGCAAAAGGTCTGCCGTGTGCTCAGGAAAAGCTCCTGATATATGGTCCTTTAGAACATACTATGTGATCCACTCAGCCAAAAAGCTGGATCTATTTCCAAACTGAGTATATGTGTAGTAAATCCTGATTTGTAGTGTGAACTTTTATTTAACATTAATTAAAATTCTAAAATAGGAACATGTCATAAATTGGGAAGCACAGCTTTTAAGCCTATTAGCTAAATGTCACAACCACCTGTAATAGCATAGGAAAGTGATCATTATGGAACTCTAATAGGTTAAATACATGTATTATTCTTCTATCAGGTGGCCTAGAGAGATTATTGGTAAGAGCTACAAATCAGCTGTGAAAACTTCCAGACCTATTCTATACAAAGAGCTCTAAGACAATGTGCAACGTTCCTATGGATCAGGAAGCAACACAGACATGCTACAGTGGACAACAGCCATACAGAATCACAACGTTTTGACCTGTTACCTTTCTAAATTATGACAGTCCAGTCTTATCAGCCAGGGAGCCCACTCTGATTTGCAAGAGTTTCTTCACATACCAAACAAAGCTCACTGGCTGCTTCTAAGTAAACAACAACCATAAGAAAAGAGATTTTTTGTCTTTGGGGGGTAGGAAAAAAAGGCAGGTCAGATGGAATTATGCTTCAGGCTGAACACAATACTTCACAGGCTGCCCGTGAGATTAACCTAACCTAAATAGTGACTTAACAGACATGGATGTGAACTTGGCTATGTTACTTACAGTCAGCAACAAACCTTAAAAACTACTTGTATAAATATTTGTGCAATTAATCCAACGTTAAAGCCATTTAGACATTTTTACTTACACAGTACAGTAAAATTTCCAGTGTACAAGGGCATGATCAAACTTCAAGCACATTTCAGACTCTAACATCCTGTAGGATTAGATTTAATCAGTATTTTTTCCACTTACTTCAACATCCAATCAGTCATTTATCTATGTTTGTTTGCTTATTTTCTTTCTGTACCTCTCACTAAAGAATTACCAAACAATTAAACCTTTTTTTTTTTTTTTCCTGGGGCTGTAGGAAATATTTCTTTCTGGTCTATAGGCCAGAAAACCAGAAAAATACCAAGTCAATCAATATATGTATCTGTGTATTTTAAGGCTTATATTAATATATGTGTAAAAGTATGCTTTAATTGCTCATAATTCATGCAGAAGATAGCCTTAAAAAGCAAATATTAATCTTTTAAAAAGTAGCCTTCACATTAGCATGTTCTCTTTGTACTCTTTTATACGCCCCCACACTCTCTGGGGTATATATTCTGAAATTTCACGCATACCATAAAGTATCTTTGGAATGTTACAGTATAATTGTTTAGAGAAACATTTAATGGATGAGTAAGCATCAAGAGGCCATGGCTAAGAGAAGAGAAAAGTTAAAAATGCTAGAAGCATTTTGCATTGAATGATCTCAGCATGAGGACAGGGTATAGACATTTGATCCAAAAATCTGGTATTGACTCAAGCAATATAAAACCAGCAGACAGCACCACAGCATATGAAGCCATTCAACCACCTAACAAAACATCTGTTGCCACCCACCTCTTTCAAACTGGACTTCAGTCACTGCCTAGTAAAGCAATCAAATGCTACATGATATTATTAATAACATAAATATTATGATAGGGGATTACATGATCTTGACAGCTGCTTTTTTTTCTTAATGGTCACTGTTTCCTAATTTACAGCACAAATAATTTCCACGTACATGATACAGAAATGCAACAGAAGTAACTGCAAAAAAAAGCTGGGCACTGAGTACAGACACAGCTAAAAAAAGCTGAACATTCTTTCACTACAGGAAACTGCTGGAGACAATATGCTGTAAATTAAAGCCAATTTTCCCAAATTCCCTGAAGGACTGCTCCTCCCATGGATTCTACAAATCCCTCAGCAGAGGCCCATCATGAGAGTTTTCTTGGGACTTACTTCCTGAAAAAGTTTTAAAAGCAAACCCAAAATTAAATGTATGGTTTATCAGGATGAAGGGAGCAACCCCCTCACAGGCCTAACCTTACACAGTTGTTTCATATCCTGATCATTAGAGAACAGCTGAAATAGTTTTTACTCCCAGTTCCTCCACCTACCTATACTTTAAGTCAAGAAAAAGCAAAATAATTACATCCCTACCTGAATTTTTGATCAGAAGAATGGATACTGCAGCAGGAGAAGAGACGTGCCAACATGTACTGCTCTGGAAATCAAGCAGTTCTTTTAGCACCAGAATTAGGTAAGCCAAGCTTCATATAGACTTGCATCACAGTTGATTATGGGTTGCAGCTGAAGCTTGTCTTATAACCGAGCACCTAAATTCTCTGTCCAGGTGGATTCTGTGGTGCTTAATATATGAATTCTAGCTGCTGCAGTACAGTCTCATCTATTTAGCTTTGCACTTCCATAAAATTTTGAGAAACCTACAGTCTTTGAAGAATTCTATGTTAAATCTGGTGGAGAACAGGTAACAGGTTCAAATACAAAACAGGAACACGTAAACAGAGTGATTATACAAATCTCATCTTGTTTAGAAACCTGTCAAGAAGTAGCATGTTCTGTTATGCAGCCTTCTAGTTTCTGTCCCAATATATTTTCCAAAATTCCTTATCTAGTTGTAAAATGTGTGAATCTAAATCATACATAAAAATAATGGATTGCACATGTTGTTTGGTTAAGTCTTCAAGAGATATTTGGAGGCACATAAGACTGCACAGGAATTCCCAGGTCACTGAATTTATACCTTACTATCAGAAGCAGTACACCAGAAAATTTCTTCCAGACAACTTGCAACCCCATCTTAAAACTAGTTTTCATTTTGCACCCCTCAACTGACTGGACTCTACGTAATCTCAAAATTAGGGTACTTTTTTAAATTTCTGGCTTAATTCATTAAAGGCTCCATCCAGTGGCCATTTCAAGACAGATAAACACATAAAATTGTGTAGGACAAGCTTCTACATTGCATACTCTAGTGTTTCTTTGTCTTCCCTTCAACAATATAGTGATGTGCTATTACTGTGTATCCAGATACCACTGTATGATAAATTCATGGTTTTAAACCTATAATTTTTTCTAATTGCCCAAAGGCAATTCCAAATATTCCACTGGGTAAGTTTTCCTGTAACTACTTTCATTTGGTGAATTACAGAGAACCATAATACCACTGCTGATTTTAAAACAAGGTCTACAGATTACTTCTTGTGTTACAACAACCATACCAGAGACTTTGAGTATGTCTTTGGGGGCTATGGTAATGGGGAACACAACACAGTTTACAATGAAGTCTAACAAACATGGATACGTTAATCTTTTCAGCCACTTAAATCCTGGAAAATCAAAAGCAAATGTCTTCCTACCATAGCATCACATAACCCAATCCCAAATACTTGAATCGTAATGCCTGCTGGGATGTTTTCTTCTAACCATCCATTAGATTTCTTATAATACTCAGCACACACATTCCTCCACAAGCTGGATTGATTTCTTCAGTTTAACTTGTTTTTGCCAAAGTCTCTTTTAGTTCAGCATTGGCTGCCTGCCTAACGAAACAACCTTTCTTTATGCCAAAACTGTCATCTTCGGTCGTACAAGATGCATCTTACTTAGAAGCATGTACAATGAGCACTATGTTTAATGCCTGAAGAACTGCTATTTTGAAATGATCTCTAGAAACACTTAAAATGATAAAGAAGTAGTCAGTACCTAAACCCCATGGAGAAAAAAACTCTTCTAAAGAAAGATTTTTTTTTTTATTTTTGTATTTAAATATGTTTTAAAATGAACACCCTAAACTAATTATTAGAACATGAGTATATATGTTTAACCACAGACAGCAGTGAGAAAAGTGAGGCTCACTCTGAACCTCAAACTGAAAGCTTCAATCTCACTTAGCGTGAAGTCATCATTACATAGTGATCATATGTACCAAAAACATTTCTCTTACTTAAACGTCTAGCATTTAAATTATAAAAAACTGATTATCTTGGTGAACTATCAAGCGTTGCTAATGAACATCAAAAAATAAATAACGAAATAAACTTCTCGCTGTATTTTTCTGCCATAATTTCAGTCACGGCTGAAATAAGAATACCTGTGTAAGAAGCTGTTCTTCAGTCAGATTATTGATCCAACGAGTGTACCGTTCAGTAGACATAGGTGGCTCTCTTCTGACTTGGCAACCAACAATCTAAGGCAAAATGAAATGAACACTGTGTGAACTGCTCTGCACCCACATGGCAGCAAAACAAGATCACAAAACAGGCATTCAGAAAATGGGAAATCCAAGAATTAAGATTATAATCTGAAAATTAAGAATAAAGAATCTTAAGAATTAAGATTATAAATCTGAAAACCTCCATTCTGTAATCACCAAAGTTAGAAGCAAGTGAAACAATGATCTAATCCAACATCAACAAACCCTAAAAAGATAGAACTGTAAAACCAGTGCTGAGAATTCACGTGAGAAAGAAAACCTGGTTGATGGAAAATATGAAGACAATTCAAAATGCGATTTAGAAACAAAACTTTAAAAACAAATATCTTTTCTCTGTTTCTTTAGTAGTACATCACGCTTACACACACACACCCCATATCTTTGGCTTTTCTTACTCTTTTCTAGTTTGAGCTTTGGAAAGCAGATATTATAGATGAATGAAACACCTCTGATGAAGTTACTATAAAGATGAAGTTAAGATTTCACTCTGATTTCTTCTCCTTTACATACAGGATAGTATCCTTACCTATATAGTGACATCATTATACATATGTAGCAGTCCTATGCTTGAATCATATATGGAATTAGAGGAACACAGAGGAAGAGAGGGATTAATATGCTTAAAACTCAGGTAAAATGTTCTCCAAAATGTTCTCCATAGTAGTAACTTTAAGTTCACTTTTTCTTAAAATTACCTAAATATGCTCTCTATACACATATACATTTTTATTTCCACAAGGGTTTCTAATTATTTTTAAAACCTGTATTTTCACAAGCACATGAAAAAAATAAATCCTTCTTCAAAGAAAACAAATGACAATTCCTTTCTTAAAAGCAAAGGAATGAAACAGCCACAGTTGGTGCTCCTGGCGGCCTTTCATAAGACTTCCATGGCCATACCAAACCTATATGCAGGGCACATAAAAGCCAGCATCTCCCTCCTGCAGGAGACAGTACTGTAACACATCATTTATCCACATTCTTCAATTATAATGACTTTGCAGGAAAATATACTTAACAGTATAAATGCATATTATTGAGAACAGCTGCATTTTGATCTTGCAACACAGCAGGAAAATAAATGCCTAACAAAGCTAGCACTTTGTAAGAAGTGAGGAAAATAACTATAAATGCCTGACAAAGCTAGCACTTTGTAAGAAGCGAAATGTTCGCACTTCCCTCTACCCTACCATAACAGTGAAATGTTTTGCACAGCACAAAGACTTCCTGCTTTCTTTTCATTTTTTAGAACCAAGATCACTCAAGACTGCTTTTAGCATCATCTTAAGAGGTATGTTTTACAGACAGATCTTGAAATTGTCACTATGCGATCAAACTTATTCCTGGATCCTCAGACAAAAAAATCCAACCTTTTCCCTCTTTAGTGATACTATTCCTTTCTCCATGGGACTCTGACTCGTGACTAGCATTCTTGCCTTACATGGCTGCAAGATAAATATCACCCACACACAGCAACACATCCTGAACCTTCGGTACGGCTCCTGTACAGCATTTTAACCAGCTTCTTTCATCCAACCAGAAGCGGGTTTATTTCAAGTACAAATGGCTTCCTCTGGTTCCCCGGTGTAAGGTGTGGCATCAGAAGCAATGCACACCGGTTCCCATTTCCTCCACGTCTCACAGAGCTCTTTTATATTCACTTCACTGAATATTTCCTTTTAAATTCAAGTGAAAGGTTTTTCACTGTTTCTTCTTTCACAAATTTTAAAACACATCGATGAAATCCCTGCTGGCCTATTTTACATCCATTCAGACTCAGAAAGTAAAAGAAACTCTCCATATTAGAAATTCTCTTTTCAATATTTTGAATATTCACTTCCATGCAAAAATTGAGTTCATCCAAGAATCAACTTTTTGATCTAATTAGGCAAATTTATTTTTATTATTACAAATGCTAACTATATACTGGCTTATACCTATACCTAGATTAAACTATGTTATACAAGAAATGCAGTACATATCAGATTCCAAGTAGGAACATGCTGTGATGCAGTATTAATACGCCTTGTATAGTAAACAGTAACATGAAGTAAAAAAATATTTTTTCTGGCTCATTGCAAAGGACTATAGCTCTTCATGGAACAACAAAACTCTAATCAGGACAGAAAAACATGACAATTCTTTCTGCTACCACATTAGATAATTCATTTTCTAGACAGACAATGCCTTTGTATCATATATGAAATATGGCTTATAGCTTATTGAGCTGTTTACTTAAATAAGCACTAGCCTCTCTGCAAGGAAATACCAAATAATTTATAATTTATCACAGCAAGAAACGGTGATGGATAAGAAATATTAAGATCATAAAATAGTTTTCTGGTTTTACCTTAACTACCAACAAATACATATTCTGAAAAGCCGTACAAGTAAGTTTAAAAATTATAAAGGTCTAGGTGGTCTCAGATAGAATGCTACTTTGACATCTTAAGATACATCTGTGGTTAGGCATCTGAATGTCTCCTCTCTAGTAACTGTCACTTCAATGATTAGGAGTGAAGTTAATAAAGCATATCTAACTAAGATTATTAGAATTGGTCATGGATATGTACTTTATGCCACTAAATTTAAACATTTTTGGAGTTAGAGCACTGTAAAACTATTAAAACCAGCACAAAATAACTATAATTAAAACGGTCAAATTAATAAAACTAGAATAATTGGGTTCTCCATGAAACAGATGCTCTAAATTGGTCACAGCATGCTGGGTTAGCCATAATGTGCAAACTATAAATCTAATGAGCGTGTTCAACTACTTGTTGATCAATACAAAATTCAGGGTTCTGATGATATTCAGAGGAACTAGATTATTACATACATTACAAAACTGTACTACAAGCACATGCACTGTTCTGTGAGTTACAAAATTGTTCCACTGAAATACAAGAGTATTGCTTGCATATCTGATACGTGTATAAATCAAGTGTTCTATACCCAGCAGCAACAACAGCCATCAAATTACATGCCAGAACTTGTTCCAACTTTTCACTAGTGTTTGCTTTTAAATGCAATGTCCAGAAAGAGAGGTTTCTTATTTTCATCATTTTAGAGTTTTGTGTTTCCCTCACACATATAAATGGAAAAAGAAGTGGGTGACAGGAAGCACAGATTAAATGAGTTGACAGTAATTAAAAACAACACATTTTCTGCAGATGTGGCTTTTTTTTTTTTTTTTTAACATCACTATAATTTCCTCTAACACAAAGAATCTCTCTTATTCGGGAGACAGCCAATGGATCAGAACCCTCCTGTCATACTAAAGAGGAAATAAGAATGAAAACCTAATTGGTCTCCAACTTTATCCATCCAATTTTTTCCATCTTAGTTTTATAAAAAGGGGGAGTGAACAAAGAGAAGCAAAAGCATAAATTCTCTATAAGGTATTAGGCACCTATTGTCCACTATATATATATAAATAAAACATATGTAAATATATACATGCATATGCTTGTACACATACATACAAACAACATATTCTATGATTCTATGACCATACAAACTGACAATAAAGGACTTAATTTTCATAGAAACATAAGAGTGGATTGGGTTGGAAGGGACCTTAAAGAACACTTAATTCCAACACCCCTGCCATGGGCAGGGACACCTCCCACTAGACCAGGTTGCTCAAAGCCCTATCCAGTCTGGCCATAAACGCTTCCAGGGATGGGGCATCCAAAACTTCTCTAGGCAAAACTCATTTTTTGTAAAATCTGAAAAAGCAATCTGGAGATACCCCTTTTGTTCATACAAGGAGGTTAGAATGACTGGACTCTTAGTCAGAGTTCTTCAATTACAAGTCTAAATCTATGTGGGTGAACACAGGTTTTCTAAAAGTCACAGAACCCCTGCTGGAGCAGGGACCATGTACTGGTACCATATGCCATGCAGTCAACTCTAGTAGTCTAACCACCAACCTAACCTTCACGACTTGAAAATTCTGAAGCCCAAAAATCCTACCAGAGCCATTTCATAAATCATTCTGTGAATCTTAGTTTTGTCACTGCATAGTTCACTGAACAACCTGCCAGACTAAAAAAGGAACATGCTATACATACCAGAGGGTTTCTAGGCTCTGCTCATTTATACCCAAATCTCTCCTTCAGTTAATACAGGGCTTTATGAAGTCTCACCAAATTTTCAGCATTCTGTTCAACCATCCCTTCATTAAATTCATTTGAATTGTTACGTAGAAATCTACCATGGAAAGAGAAATCCTATACTGTCTCAGTCTTTTTTTTTTTTTTTAATTTTTAAGTAGTCTTATGGAATAGTGCTTATAGAGTAATAGTTACTTGCCTAGGCATGACCCAGCAGAATCTTGTCAGATCACTGATTTCTCACTGGAAACATAACTAACAAAAATTTCTACCACTTCTTTTTTGTAATTTAATCATAATAACTAGGAGTTTCTCATGCTAACTGGAATGATTGTAAAACTAATATTTAACTATTAAAATACCTAAGTATTAGACTATATTTTTGGCCAATGGCAATAAGCAGCTTCACTCATTTAACTAAATGTGAACAGATGACTACACTTATTAATTTGTACCTTCACCCAATTAAAGGATAACGAATATTAGGAATTATATCCTTAAACCTCTTTCATTTGCAGAACACTGGAGCAAGTAAGGAGGATTGTGTTGAAGAAATTTATCAGCTCCATTTTCAGTTCTGCTTCTTACTATTTTTACCTACAGCACGTAATTAAAGCTCGAACTTTATCTAAGTCCATAATTTATAAAAACGTAATGGGATGTATATAGTTAGGGTATTACTGGGTGATATTCCATCAAATTGAAATGGTGCTATATTAAGAAACTGTCTGTAAAATGCTAATCACTATGGAAGTAAAATTGTGTCAATAATAATCATGCTTGCTCAGGCTTGATTTGACTGCTGTGGATGAAAGGAGATTTACAAAATACAGCTATTTACCGAGCAGACTTTAC